CATGCTCAACGCTAGAAAACTTAAGGGAACAACTGTCTTCATTCAAAATGATTATTCGCAAGAAACACTAAGAAAAAGACGATCGCTTTGGCAGAGTGCCAAATCTGAAAAAGACAAGGGGAAGAAGGTTACGCTTGTGCACGACAAACTTTACATTGACAAAAAGTTGTACGCATGGAACGATTCCACAAACCGGCGCGTTCCTGTCCAGACAAAGGAATTGCCGGCACCAGCAAACATATAGCCACTCCGGCGCCCTGTTGATGAGCTGATTGTCATTTCGTTTAATGCAAGAAGTATTGTAAATAACATTGACAGTTTAGAACTGCTTCTTTTGAATTATGACCCCCATCTAGTTGTAATCACCGAAACCTGGCTGAGTGATAGGATTAGTGACGGCGAAGTTGTTCCACGTGGCTATCAGATATTTCGGTGGATCGTGGCTCCCGTGGTGGGGGCGTTGCCGTTATAGCTAAAATCAATATCGAGATCTCGGGTTTTGTCTGGGATCTCTAATCATGAAAGCTTGTTTTTAAACGTATCTTTTTGTGACTTAAAATTCTTGCTTTGTGCTGTTTATCGATCACCTGATGCAACCGACTCGTTTCTTTGCAAATTGTACGATTATCTTTTGCCCTACCGTGGTCGCCCGGTTATTGTAACAGGCGATTTTAATCTGCCGAGTTTTGACTGGAATTGACCTACTTATGGAGAGAGTGACCCATGTGATACTCTCTTAGACATGATGTTGGCTATAAGTTTAAAACAGTTAGTTTTGGAACCTACCCGTCTTGACGCCATTCTAGATTTATTTTTTGTTAGTGACGTATTTTCTAGTGGTGTAGTAAATGTAGATCCTGGTATTTCCGACCACCGGCTCTTATTGTTTTATTGTTCTTCTACCGGGTTTGGCAGTGTTGAAGACCAACCGGTCAACCATGTCAAAAATTTTGACCGTGCCGATGACGCTTATATCATTGATTACTTAGAGTTAAAATTTGATATCCAAACTAGCAATGATGTGCACACGTTGTGGACGCACTTCAAGGAAACAATAAAATACTGCATCGAGCATTTTGTACCCTCAAGGAAGGTTAGAAATAAGCGTTACAATGAATGGATTACCCGAGATATCATTCAGACCAAGCGTAAGATTAAACGTCTTAGGAGAAAGAGGAGTCTAGGGGAGCAACATTTACAAAGCTTGAAGCGGTCTTTGGAATGTAAGGTTAAATCAGCGAAAGCTCATTATTTTACCGTAACACTTCCTGAGTTCATTAAAAATGACCCCTATAAGTTTTGGCGGTTTTTGGGTGAACGGAAAAACATTCTGAAAGAAATAGCTGTAAATGGTAAAATTGTAAGAGACGACAAAGAAATAGCTCAATCATTCAATCATTACTTTCAATCAGTCTTTTCACCAGGCGGATCAGTTCCTAAACGCCCAACAGACTATTCAAATATACCTGTTATTTCGGATCTCGGAATACTGGCATTATTACGAAAGCTTGATCCTAGAAAAAGTCCCGGCCCCGATGATCTTCCTAATGGATTTTTGAAACGGTATGCTGATCAGCTATCTGCCTTTTTAACTAACATTTTCCAGATCTCTCTCACATCAGGTGAAGTCCCGTATGATTTTTTGGTTGCTAGGGTTAAACCACTGTTTAAAACGGGAGACAAACTTTCAATTTCTAACTACAGACCCATTTCCATCACAAGTAGCTGTTGTAAAATGTTGGAGCATGTTATTGTAGGGTTCATTCATGAATTTTTGGCTGAAAGGAACATTTTGTCGCCCTATCAACACGGCTTTAGAAAAAACATGTCCACTGTTACGCAATTGGTCACTACTGTTCATCACTTCTCTGCGGTATTGGACGAGTCTGGACAAGTTGATGTGGTTTTCCTCGACTTTAGCAAGGCCTTTGACAAAGTGCCACACGAAAAGCTTTTGTATAAACTTGAACACATTGGCCTTCCTGATTGCCTTTTGAACTGGATAAGAGCTTATATAAATAACAGAAAACAGTATGTTGATATTAATGGTTGTTTCTCTAATTTTCTTGCTGTTACCTCTGGGGTACCCCAGGGCAGCGTGCTGGGACCGTTGTTGTTTCTTCTTTATATAAATGATTTAGCCCACGTAGTTCCCGAAACTGTCTCCATCAGGCTGTTTGCCGATGATTGTGTTGTTTTTAGAGAAATTCGCTCACCTGATGACTGTGAAGTTTTGCAGGAATCCCTGGTTGCAATAGAGAGTTGGTGTGAGCAGTGGCGAATGATGTTGAATGCCGGAAAATGTGCATTTCTACGAATAACGCGCAAAAAACATTTCTTCAATTCCCAGTACTTCTTGCAGAACACTTGTATTGCAGATGTTGGGGAGTACAAGTACTTGGGCCTCACTCTGAACTCTAATTTATCTTGGTCATCCCACGTAAAACGTATTTGTTCTGCTGCATTTACTAAGTTGTGTTTTTTGAGACGAAAATTATGGCATTCTCCAAGTCACGTTAAGCTTTTAGCCTATGAAACTTTTGTTAGAGCTAAACTTGAATATGCTTCCGTGATATGGAATCCGCACGTGAAAAAAGATATCTACATGCTTGAGCTCGTTCAGAGAAAAGCGGTGCGTTTCATTTTTAACAAATATGGGCGTTACGATTCTCCGTCGAAGCTCATGACTGACAATGGCATTCAAATCCTAGCAGTTCGTAGACGCTTGGCCCGTTTACTCTTCCTCAACAATATTGCTACTTCTAAGGTGAAAATAACTCCGTCAACTATGATTAAACCGCTAAGCACAAGAAGGACCCATCACATGCATACTCATTCCTTTCAGCCTATCTTCGCCAAAACTAATCAGTTTAAGCACAGCTTCTTCCCACGTACAATTTCCGAATGGAATGCGCTCCCGGAAGCAGTGATACAAGCTAAAAATTTTTCCCAAGCGCTCCAGGAAAGCATCTGTCGCTAAGTATATGCATTGTATGGTGTGCTATGCCTTGACCAATCTGTCTTGTACTCCTTTTTATTGTTATTATTTTTATTCTTTGTATGCATGTGTAACAGTGTTATGTGTATTGCCAATTGCCCCTCCTGCTTGGGCCACAAACTGGCCTGCAGTATTCGCAATTAGTAATAAATAAATTTCGCCCATGTTCAACGGGCCACTTTTTGTTGTCAGAAGTGTGCCGCCTGTCTCCTCCGTGCCTTCCAATATGCTCTCGGAAGCGCACTCAAATTTAAGCGATTTCTACGCTTTTCTGAGAGCAAGCGATCCGCTCGTGCTGTCAGTCGGTCAGTTAACGCGCAAGGCACTGAGATCTCTGCTCAAGGGAACAGAGGGAGCGGGTAGAAGGTTGAGTTTTACTGGCAGGAACATATGTACAAATGTACAACTCTTCACCGTTGGAACTGTCGCATGTTGCCTCGGCAGAGCCGATAGTGCAGAGCACTGTTTGCTGCGACCAGAACGACCATGAGGAAACTGGAGCCAGGTTTTAACCCCTCGGTTGCCCCTCCCAATTCTCCTCACGGCCAACCAAAACAACTCAGTTCGTTTATTAGACAGACTAAACACACTTGTTGCCGTCCTGCCCTCTCGCTCTCTTATTCAAGCACCTGACCTCCCGGTTTGAGAGAGAGAGATGAAAGAACCGGCCTACACAAGACGTTCCGCGAACTGCGCGACCGCATACGATGGTGGCGCCATTTCGGCTGCCGGCCCGTACCAATACTGCGAGATGATTACACTGTCCAGCGTGACAGCCGTCCCGCGGACACTAATCCAGGTAATGGGTGTCGATACACCGGATGTCCTCACGTCGCCCGCTGGCACTCCGCTGGCCGGAGACCACCCAGCTGGTTGTTGGAAGCGGCGACCAACCGCGGTCTTCTTACCAGAACGGGCGTCTTTACGCCGGGATTATCGTCTCCCGAGAATCGGCTCTTTGAGAAGAGCATGCTTTTGCGACAAGGAAGACTCACCCCCTCACCTGCAATGCCAGACCTCACAAAATCTTTGCAATTGAAGTGACCACTTGTTCGATTCAGCGTAGAGGCTTTCAACGGGGCTCGTGCCAAAAGAAACAGTAGAAAGACGCATTTCAAGATGATGAACGGTGCCTAGAATCTTCAGGGCAAATTATGCAGCTAGAGAAGACACTTCTTGTCACCACCCCTCGCGGTGCGTGACAACACTTTCAGAACAGTCATGCTTTTAGACACTTGTTTTTTGTATTTTGATGTGGATCAAGAAAGTTATTTTTGCGACTAATATGAGGCCTAGGAATTTATGCTTGGTAGTCACTGATAAGGCTGACCATGAAGATCAATCTCAGGATCTGGATGAACGCCCTTCTTTCTGAAGAATAGGACGCAAGTGCTCTTTTGTGGGTACAATTTAAAACAATTTTCGTCTGGACATTGTGAAACCTTGTTTAAACTTATCTGTATTTGTCGTTTTCACACATAGGAAGATTGAACGATTTAAAATAGACCTGTAAATTGTCGACATATGTGCAATAAAACATATTGCGAGGGCTGTATAGGTGCAAGAAATTCATTTTCGCAATAAAAAATGTGCAACACAGTACAACACCTTGTGGCACTCCTGTTTCTTGGACAAACGTTCCGGATAAAGCAACGCCTGCTTGAACACAACATGTACGATTAGACAGGTAACTTTCAGTTATAGTCAACATTCTTTCCCGCACACCTAATTGTGACAGATCTCTGATATTGCCAAAGCGCAACGCAGTGTCTTAGGCCCTTTTTATATCGAGGAACACAGAGAGAAAATGTTGGTAATTAACAAAAGCGTCCCAAATATATGCCTCGATACGGACAAAGTTTTTGGTAGTGGATTTAGCCTATATGAACCCACACTGATATAGACAGGTAGATAATTTGTCTTTAGGAAGTGCATGCGTCGCCTGTTTATCATCTTGTCAAAAAATTTGCAAAGGGAGCTAGTTAGGGCAATGGGTCTCTAGCTTCACACAGAGAACGGGTCTTTTCCCTGCTGGTCCTGGATTGGAAACAACCGACGCCACTACACCAGGTCCTGCTGAAGTAATCGCAGCAGCCGTCAAGTCCAAGGTCCACCACCCCGATACAGTCCCCTGGTAAGTTCTTCGAAGGAAATGTTTTCCGTGACCACAACCTAGACTGAGCATGTCGATGACTTATCCGCCAGATAAAGCTTAGAGTCACACCACCACCCCGTCGGCTTTAATCGCCAAACCACGACCGAGCAGCCTTTGAGCCCACTGGGGTCACTGACTCAAGTCCACGCCAGGGAAACGGAGAATAGTGACCTCCAGGGGTGATGCCGCTGTCACGCGAATGAACAAATATCTTCCAATGCCACCCCTAATGAAATACCGCTGATGCCTTCTTTTGTAACCGCTACAAGAACGTCGGCTGATATAACTGTTTCCGCTGACTGTCATTCTGTAACCGCTCTTTTCGATGCAGGAGCTGATTACTCGGTAATGAGTGCTGTATTTGCCACGCAAGGTGCTGACACCATGGGACGGCCCGCAACTAATCCCCGCTGGACGACACCTCGTGTCACTAATCAGCCGGTGCACCGAGGGACTTGAAATCTGTGCATCGGCCTTTGTAGCACATTTTCTTGTGTTGCCCAACTGTACCCGACCAGTTATACTGGGTATAGATTTTCTTCAGGAGTATGAAACGGTCATTAATGCTCAAGAGTTGTTCGTAACCTTTGCTGTCTGCGTTCATACTGATTCGAATGACGCGGACGAACATCGGCGCGTGGCGTTACACGTCGTCGATGAGTGTGTGACGTTGCCGCCTCGTAGCAGCATCTTCGTCCTTGCTGAGGGCCCACAAGAACAAGCGGGCACAGGGATCGCTGAAGGTAAGGTCGCCTTGCTACTGGGTCGAGAGGTCGCCATAGCTCCTGGCATCGTGGAGCTCTGAATTCGGCGGACTGCGATCTTAGTGACCAACTTCAGTGGTGAATACAAGCATTTGGCAAGGCGCACCACCATAGCCCAATGGGAAACCCTCGACAATTTTATCACCTGCGCTGCGATTACGACGCACTCCACAGATTAAAGCTTTGATGTAGCCTTTACAAACCACATCAAAGTTAGCGAAAAGTCCGCACAACTCAAGCGGCGAAGAATGCTTAGCTTGCTGTCATCTTTTAGCCACTGTTTCACCCCTAAATCGAAGGTCGGGCAGACTCTGGTAACCAAACACAGAATCATCACTGAGCCAACCGTCCAACCAGTGCGTCGACACGCTTACCGCGTATCAGGGAAAGAACAGATGCTATTCATCATCAAGTCAAAGAAATGCTCGATGACGACGTCATTCAACCTTCAACCAGTCCGTGGACGTCACCTGTTGTACTGGTTACTAAAAAAGAAGGCTTGATCTTTTTCTGTGTGGATTACCGCAAGATGAACTCCATTATCAACAAAGACGTTTATTCCCTGCCCCGTATTGACTCTTTAGATCGCCTGTGACATTCCCGCTACTTTTCATCGATGGATCTTCGTAGCGGGAACTGGCAGATTGATATCGACGAAGTAGACCGAGAAAAATGACGTTTATAATCCCTGACGGCTTTACGAATTTAGGGTTCTTCCTTTTGAGTTTTGTTCTGCTCTAGCTACGTTCCAACAAATGATGGACACAGTGTTATCTGACCTGAATTCATAAATAGTGTACTTAGACAACGTAGTTGTTTTTTCTACGGTGTTTGAAGAGTTCATCAAGTGGCTTCAAGATGTACTTTAGGTCACTCATATTTCCGATATATCCCTGAAGCCGGAAAAGTGTCACTTTGGATAGGAGGAGCTAAAATTTTTGGGCCATATTGGGAGCAGTAGAGGTGTGCGTCCTGACCCCGAAAAAGCCATGGCAGTTGCTCTACATCCAGAACGAACTACACCCAGAAGTGTTTTGTCTTATTTAACTGTGTTTAGCTCATAGAACTTTACAAAAAAGATGCGCCAAAGCTCACGAGGCACCCCGTTCTTATTCTTCTAGTTACTTCAATCTCGTGGTTCGGCTCTATGGTTATTATCTGCCCTAAGAAGACATAGTCTTTTACGACTCCAAGTGGACTATTACTTATCTCAAAGCGCTGCTCTCTTCCGAGGTTGTTGTACATTACTTTCGTTTTCTGCAGATTCACTTTGAGACCCACCTTTCTGCTCTCCTTGTCTAACTCCGTAATCATGAGTTGCAATTCGTCCCCTGAGTTACTCAGCAATGCAAAGTCATCGGTGAGGCGCAGGTTACTAAGCTACTCTTCATTAACTCTTATTCCTAACTCTTCCCATTCTAGGATTCTGAAAATCTCCTGTAAGCACGCGGTAATGGTGCATTCAGACGACGGACCGAATCCGGATTTGTTTTGGACGCGGACAGCTAATCCGCGGATGGTCCGCCTGCAGGCGCATCCACACGACGGACGGTGTCCTAGGGGAAAACAGCCGGATTACCCTCGACAGCAGATTCGGCGCTCACCTGCGCCCGCTGGAAGCAGACCGGTTTGAGAGTATTCAACATGGATGCCCGCAAGAAGTGAAGCTTGGCTGCGATGTCTGTCGTGTTGTGACAAATGAACGAGTAGTGTTTTCTTTCAGGAGAAAAGGGAGTTGCTAGCAGGATATTCTTTCAACTAGATTGTTCCCTACTTGTAGAACTTCTATACGCGTCTCCCATCCTTTTGTTGAAGTGGCACGTCGCCGGTTGCAAAAGTTAGAATATTTCACCACCATGGCGGCTAAGATTAATCTCGCGTGTTGAGCGACGGCGGCGACATTTCCCGAACCACCAAAAGTGATTTCTGCATATTTAATCACCTGAGAACAAAGTCTCCGGAAACTAAGTAAACAATGCTCAAGCGTAGGTGATGCCGACCAGTCATGCAGCTGTCCGCGAGCCATGGAGGACATGCCGCGAGCAGACGAAAAGTGTACTGGTTGCCACCGACCCCAAGCTATTCCGCTGAAGTACCGGCTCTCCCCCGCCAGAATCCCGATGTGAGAAACAGGTTGGGTTCATCCGTCCACGAGCCGCGCGGACGAGGAGAATCGCTGATGTGAGGTCACGTGACGCGCCGTCCGTCCCGCCACATCGGGATTCGATCCGTAGTCTGAATGCACTATAAATAGCATTGTAGAGATTGTATCATCCTGCCTTACACCCTTCTCGATTTGTATTCTGTTGCTTTCTTTATGAAGGCCCCGCCATGGTTTTCTAGTGACTAAGGTACTCGGCCACTTACCTGCAGGTCGCGGGATCGAATCCCGGCTTCGGCGGCTGCATTTCCGATGGAGGCGGAAATGTTGTAGGTCCATGTGCTCAGGTTTGGGCGCACGTTAAAGAACCACAGGTGGTCTAAATTTCCGGAGCCCTCCACTACGGCGTCTCTCATAGCCATATGGCGGTTTTGGGACGTTAAACGCCACATATCTATCTTTCTTTATGAAGCACTATAATAGCAGTTGATCCCCTGTATATTTCTTCCAGGATGTTTACATATGCTTCATCAACGCCCTGATTTCGCAGTGTCTGTATGACGGCTGATAATTATACTGAATCAAAAGCCTTCTCGTAATCTATGAAGGCTATGTATAGTGGTTGGTTATATTCTGAGCATTCCTCTATTACCTGATTGATAGTATGAATGTGGTCTATTGTTGAGTAGCCTGTTCAAAATCTTGCTTGTTCCTTTGGTTGATTGAATTATAATCGTTACTTAACTCTGTTAGCAATTACTTTTGTAAATAGCTTGTATACTACGGAGAGCAAGCTCATCGGCCTGTTTTTCTTCAAGTCCTTGTCATCTCCTTTCTTATGTATTAAGATGATGTTAGCATTCTTTCAAGACTCTGGTACCTTTCCCGTCAGGAGACACTTCGTAAACAGGGTGGCTAGTTTTCTAACACAATCTATCCACCATCTTTCAGCAGATCTGATGTTACCTGATTCTCACCAGCAGCTTTGCCTCTTTGCATGCTCTCCAAGGCTTTTCTGACTTCTATCATTACTAGTGAGGCGTCATCTGGGTTCTTATAGTATTATAGTATTAAGGTCGTGGTTGTCCCGGCTACTGTACAGATCTCTGTAAAACTCTTCCGCTATTTTAACTATCATATCAATATTGGTAGTTATGTTGCCTTGTTTGCCTCTTAGTGCATACATCCGATTTCTGCATATCCTAAGTTTCCTCTTCACTGTTTTGACGCTTCCTCCGTTTTTCAGAGCGTGTTCAATTGTCTCCCTGTTATACCTTCTCACATCGGATACCTTACGCTTATTAATTAACTTCGAAAGCTCTGACAGTTCTATTTTGTCTGTTGTACTCGAGACTTTCATGCTTTGATGCTTCTTAATGAGATTCTTCGTTTCCTGGGATAGGTTGCCAGTGTCCTGTCTAACTACCCTGCCTCCAACTTCCTCTGTACACTCCGTAATGATACTCGTCAGATTATCATTCATTGTATATGTGCTAAGGTTGGTTTTCTCAATAAGAGCCGAGTATCTGTTCTGAAGCGAGACTAATTCCTCTACATTCCCTCTTAGTTCTAGCTCATTGATTGGCTTCTTGAGTATTAGTTTCTGTCATTCTTTCTTCAAGTCTAGGTGAATTTGAGACTGAATCATTCTATGGTCACTGCATCGGACTTTGTCAACCACTTCCACATCCTGCACGATGCCTGGGTTTGCACTCATTATAAAGTCTATTTCGTTCTTATTTTCCCTTTTAGGGCTCCTCTATGTCCACTTGCGGTTTCCTCGTTTTCGGTAGAAGGTATTCAAAATCCGTTAATTATTGCGTTCTGCAAATTCTACTAGTAGTTCTTTTCTGGCGTTTCTAGTACCAATGCCATAGTCTCCTACTGCCTGCTTCTTCCCTACTTTTGCATTAAAGGCTCCCATTAGTATATTATACTGTGTTTTTACCTTACTCATTGCCGATTCTATGTCTTCATAGAAGCTTTCAACTGAAGCGTCATCATGACTGGATGTTGGGGCGTAAGCCTGTACCACCTTCATCTTGTATCTTCTATTCAGTTTAATTACGATACCTACCACCCTTTCATTAATGCTATAGTATTCCTCTATGTTGCCAGCTATGTTTCTGTGAATTAGGAACCCCACTCCCAGTTCTCTTTTGTCAGCCAAGCCCCGATAGCAAAAGACGTGGCCACTCTGTAACGCCGTAAGGGCCTCATGTATCCTCCTAACCTCACTGAGCCCTATTATATCCCTTTTAACACCCTCTAGCTCTTCGAATAGTACAGCTAGACTTGCCTCACTAGATAAGGTTCTAGCGTTAAACGTTGCCAAGTTCAGGTTCCAACGGCAGCCTGTCCGGATCCAGAGATTCATAGCACCCTCTGCTGCGTAGCGAATCTGACCGCCGCCTGGTAAGTTGCGTCGCAGCTGCTGGGGACTGAGAGCTGTGAATTAATTAACGTTTGCATGTGGGAGGTAGTGGCCAGATACTGCACCAGGGTGGCCAATCCTTCTCTAGTGAGAGCCCCCCCCCCCCATTAGCTTGGGTCCGTGGTGTGGTTACACACCAAACGCTTGCTTACGTTGACGCCTTGCGGTAGAAGTGCGAAATGTATGTCTAAAGCTCGTTTTCTTAGAATTGAGCCTTTTCGCCTGTAAGCACACACCTCATAGCTCTGCTCCTTTAGCTTACATTTTCGCTGCATACTCAGACCAGTCATTACTTGCGACGAGAAATTCTAGCTGTAGTAACTGTGTACCATAACTCCAACAATGAATGTAATAAGCCCGAAATATTTTTAGGCCCATCACCTAAATAGATATTACCTATGACATGGGCTCATGGCTGAGAATTGAAACTTGTGCCTACCCTGCCGACATGACGCAACATTGTACAATTGTGATGTTCTCAATGTTGCATTGCAGAGCGAGAAAGATTCAGAACTACATGCATGCGCAATTGCTTGTTTAACAAATTTAGCAAAGCTATGTTGCGCTCACTTTTCTAGCTATCTATCGGCAATGTGCAAGTTTCCTTTTCAATTCCACATCATACATTCACTTCACTTCAATATCAGGGTAAGCGCCGCATCTACAATGTAAAAAATGAGGACACTCCTTCACGGAGAATGCTGAAGGTATAGCGGTGCCGAGTGATTCTGTGAGCAAGAATACAACTATCTCCTTAAGACATAGCCTCTTCACGGAAGTCATGCTTCAGCACAGTTACCACAGAACCCATTACACTACTAAGGCCACAGATATTATTCCGTGACCAAAATGCGACAATTTCCGTCGAACAAAGCGTTCCTACGTATTCTATACGTTATTGCAACTTATACAAAAATGTTTGCATTGTTCCACACAACAGTCTGCTGTATTGTTCTGCACAACAGTCTGCTGTATTGTTCTGCACAACAGTCTGCTGTATTGTTCCGCACAACAGCATGCCGCACCACAGCTGTGCCATGCAGCCTGCTTGCAAAATATAGCGATGAAGGATTTCATTAATGCTCTGCGTGCCTGTGAATGTGAGTTATTTGTGTTGCTTGACGGAAATTTTTGTTGGCTGGACAAGCTGTTAGTTTAGTTTCGGGGCACACCTTCATCTGCAAGTGGACACAGGGTTCATAGAATGATTACAACGTACTATATGTTTTGCACAGGTAGCATGACTTTTGTGGAATGAATGCAGACATTCATGGCTAGCTCCCTAAAGTACCTGTTTGTTATGTACATACCACCAAATTGAACAGGAGTCCAGTTGAACTGAACTCTACACAAAGAACACAAGAGTGGAGTGTGCAGCGAACAAAGGCACAAAGAGCACATGACATGTTTATAGAGATAATCGCGGCGCTGAAATGACGAAGATGGGACAGGTGGAACATACACAAGCCTGTCCCATCCTTGTGATTTGAAGTGCTACGCTGAACTTTATGCAAATGTTACATCAAGAAGGCCAAAAATTTACCCGGGCTAAGTTCACAATACATCCTCTCTTTCCCCATTTTGCAGGTTTCTTTTTGTTGAGCCAATCTGTACATGCAACAATGTTCTAAACTACGTGTGAAATAATGAGTGTACAAAGTTTACTTGGACTTGCAATTAATAAAGTTGCTTAGAAATTTTCCCATCTAAGCAGATGGCAGTTGCAGCATATGTTAGCAACAAGTCAGTCAAGGTTTACCAGTTCTGCAGCAATAGACATCCTAGTGAACATGTTGTTCTTGAAAGTTAGTGGTTGACAACAAATAAAGTAATATTCTAATAATAAACTAATAATAAATAAATAATAAAAAATAACTAATAAATAATAAAATAATAAACTAAATAATAAACTAATAAACTAATAAGTTACTTTTAAGCACTGTTTATATAGAAGCTACGACTTGTTGTCCAGTAGGTAAACTCAGTCTTGGAACAAGCTGCACTGGTAGCAATAGCATCATCCCCCCCCCCCCCCCTTGCAGTCTTTAAACCTCTATGGAGGCGGAAATGTTGTAGGCCCGTGTGCTCAGATTTGGGTGCACGTTAAAGAACCCCAGGTGGTCGAAATTTCCGAAGCCCTCCACTACGGCGTCTCTCATAATCATATGGTGGTTTTGGGACGTTAACCCCCACATATCAATCAAGTCTTTAAACCTCTGAACTCTTTCTGCCCATTTTGCCAATAGGAGTGGCGTTGCAATACCCCAGTGTACTTTGTAGAAGACCTTCCTCCGATCATGTGCAGGTGTGCGGTTCGTGAACGTATATCCCAAGGTATACCGTAAAGCACTGAAGATTTGAGTGAGGTCATCGGTGAGGTATAAAGCGAAAATTGCGACACAACTTGTGTGGGCAAAACAAATGAAAAATGGTCAACGAAACTTAAAGAACGTAAAGAGGATGTTGCTTTGTTTTTCATGCAACATGTTCTGACACAGAGCTTGTTGAACCTTGCTGAGTGACAATACATAGCTGCTGCCACAGAAATTTGACTATGCCACTTCATGTACAAAGGCGAGAAAACAGAAACCTTGTGCAGTCGCAGTCCATTCGTTACCATGTATCAGCTTCCAACGACCCCAGCCTTCTATCTATAAATGTTTACAAGAAAATATGTGACCAGTGGACTGGTTGAACTTTGCAGACTTATTGCCAACATATACGGAGAACGCTACTTGCATAGATGGCAAAGATTTCATGTCATTTTGTTAATAATTGTTGTGAAAGGTCAGAGTAAAGAATTTACAGTTAATCCACAAATCTAGAGTGTATGTGGGGGTAGTTTATATGTATGCACTCTGCTGCGTTATCTTGCAGATGGTTGAGTCATACCTGCTGCAGCATGCCAAATGGACAATAACAGGTACTACTACACACTTCTTTAAGCACAACTTTGGCAGATGTATTCAGAAACATAATTGTCAAAAGTGCTGAAAGCCCGCTTATGAAACTGTGTGCATGGCCCATGAACAGCTCTGCCTGGCTCCTTTCTTTATGTCTGAAAAAGAAGTACAAAAAACTATTGTAGCAGCAGCAATGTTCAGAGTTCAAACCACTATGGTGTCTACTACATACATCACCTCTGCACACCCCTATTTCATGAATCACAAAAGCAGACGGTACTTCTGGACAAGAACAAATCACATGCAGAACAAGCATGCTGATGCTACGAAGACCTATTGCTATAGTAGACAAGAATTCAACGTTAAACGCACTATATCCTTACTGCATAAGAATTCATAGACTAGCATAACAAATTTCATTTAATTAGTGCCGTGGTATGGCCGTTACAATTTCTGTAACTAATAGCACCATGGAGAGTAACGTGGGGTGAAAACAGAGTAATCTTGCATTATATTGTGAAATCTTACACCAGAGAAAGCATACTGTAGACCACTGCAAAGACCTATGTGTGGCAGGCAACATATTGTAACGGCACCTTTGGAGCGAGAAACAGGAACTGTGAAACAAGAGGTTCAGGACGTTGTTGTGGTTTCCGTAGCCAACACTCTGTCACTGTGCGTGAATGAGTGTTGAATGGGTACATGTTGCCTTATTCATAACATCATGGTGGAGGTATTAGCCTGATGAAGACGATGTATAATGCATCAACACGAATGGTGAGCAATAAATTAAGAAGCGCGGCCTGCATATATAGTTTCTTAAAATCCCATAAACACTACATATGAAAGTTGTAGATTTCATTATGACAGGAGCTAACATGAAGATGGGGGCCTGAATGAGTGTCATCGCTAAATTAGGTGTGTTGTTGGAGCGAATGTTTGAATAAGACAATTTGTCTAAGTTGTGGCAGCCACCTTGATGCAGTTTGCTGCTTCGGTAAAGAAAAGGTCTGTTGTCGAATAACAAGCTCTAACATTCGTTCAATATGTTTTTTTTTATCAGGTATACATCTCAACACATTCATGACAAATCCTCGATTTTAACAAATGCTTCTATTGTAATGATACTGGGTGCAAAACTTAAGCTGCAGAGGACAAGACATTTAGCAGAGGTCTTGCTGCTAAACAGTTTTATAACACTATGTCCATGATGCTAAAAATGAGCGACTGGACAAGAGGAATTCCATTTACCAGAGCAGCAAACCATATAAAGGTTACTGCCACGACTTAGACAAACGATTTTTATTCAAACATTCAAATCAACCGAATTTTGAAAAATCTTGATTGGCTCCAGAAACTTTTTTTAATGATTTGACACTCAATCAAGCCCCCCCCCCCCTCATCATCTTAACTTCTGCCATATTAAGACAACTGTCATGTAGTGTTTGATAAAATTTTAAGATATGGACAGTAAGCCTTTCTTCTCAATTTAATGGTCACCCTTTACGTTTATGCTTTAATGACTGTCTTATGAGCCAAAGAACCCAGGGTAAAAATGTGTGAAGGTGTCTTAAATTTTTAGAGTCAGAAGTGTTTTTAACTCTAGGTAAATGCCCTCAAAACAAACAATGTAATTTTATTCTACAAGAAAGAATCACTCTTGAAAAAAATATACAAAATATACCGCATTTCGCCATGCTTGATTTGATTGATATGTGGGGTTTAACGTCCCAAAATCACCATATGATTATGAGAGACGCCATAGTGGAGGGCTTCAAAACTTCGACCATCTACAACATTTCCGCCTCCATCGGAAATGCAGCTGCAGCAGCCGGGTCTCAATCCCGCAGGTTATGGGCGAGTACCATTTTGCCATGTTTCCTCACAACCAACGTTAGCATAAATTGAAACAAAAATTATTTCAATATCATAGCCATGAAATTTTGCTGACAAAGAAACAAAGACGTAAAAGCATGAAGCAACAATCATGGGTCATTTATTTTTCTTCCATAACTCAATTATTGAGCAGATGGTTTCAAAAGCCTCTGCTGTATTAGATAGTTTTCCCCCAAAATAGTGGTAGAATAACTTCTTCCCACATTGCGGCATCAAAGCACCAGTTTCGGAAAATATTGCTAATGGTCAAGAAACCACTTTACAGACTAGCATGACAAGACCATCAACTCGCAAATAATTACGCGTTAATGCTCAGTCACAGTTTCTGAGGCAGCCCGATGGCTTCTGTATGTCCATCTGTACTGCCTTCCGCCTGCCTTTGGGCCAGGTTTTGTAGAATGTCTGCCGAGAAAACAAAGAACATTAGAAACAATTCTCTTTTTCTAGCATGCCCCATGTCACACAACTTGACTTTCTCGGCCTCATGAGGTAGTAGTCTCGAAAGCATGCTTATAGCTGCTGCCTTATGTATGTATATCTCATATCCCATTAGCAGGCTCCAAAACAATGCCCAGTCATTGTTAGGCAAGAAGTCTAACAGAAAAAAACAGAAACAACATTTTACACTAGACATAAATTTAATTCCTAATACTCACTCAATAACCTATTTTCCTTACGCATTATATGCATGCATGGTGAAAAGACTGGGCTTGCAAACATGGCCGCAGGTGGGTCAGGACACTTGAAATGTCATCAAATGTCAATTAACAATGAGAAGGCAGACTAACAGAACATATAATACAGTTAACCAGAGGCCCATCAGTAAACTTATCTTTATATGACGACGTAAATGCATGCCGAAATTCGAATCATGCTGTTTCGTACAAGCACAGAAATTAAGAAATGCATCTAATGGTTGAGGCTTGGCATAGCGACATGTGGTAGTGCATGTGTGAGCCAACCATTGAATAACTCAACGAAAAAACCAAATGCTGAGCAGTTATCTCTCACATAGACCAACAGGCATGCCGTCTTGATTGACATCTCCACTTGCCTTATTTCGTTTGTAGCTTAATGTCAACTTTTCTAGTGTGTGTTTGCGGTGTTTTGACTACTCTCTCAAGTCCACGTTTGCATGCCCTGCCTTTTTAACATGAATACCAACGTACTAAGCAGCTCAGTTCTCTTTGAAACATGTATACAATCTAAAATTACCACTTTGTTCACTTGATGTAACAATGATAATGGGGTTCTGAATGGGAATGTTAATTCAAAAGCATAAGGCCTCTAGCATTTTTGCCTCCTTCAAAAGTGCAACTGCTGCCCTAAAGATCAAATTCACTCTGTGCGGGAGTTGTTTACATGGCAGCATAGCTGTAAGCAAGGTAAGATATATTTTAGGACTATGAAAAGAGCTCTAGGTAAAAGCAAGACACGCAACTAGCAAGAAGCCACATATTATCCAGCCTAGAATCTATTTCCTGTAACCTAGAATGCTGTGGCGCAGGCCATGCACCTCGGCAACTGTTCAGCTTTTCTTTCTGAACCAAAACTTAGTAGAGTCAATATTGATATCTACAGATTGCTCTGAAAACAGCAGTTAAGTTGCCAAAAAGTAAAAGCCAAAAGACCAAGACTAATAAAATATTAAACACTTAATGATGCAAGTACACCCAAAGCACCGTTTTATATGTGCTGCTTGAATAGGTATTAAGTAAACAAAGCAGCGAAGCAATGAACTGCCAGCTATGTAGCTGCAAAAGTGGAGAAAGCATGTGGCTCTAGTGCCATGAAAAATCCATGAAAGTACTATCAACAGGAAAAACTTGGTAGATGTTGAATCCACAACAAATGCGAATTTCCGCTACGTCGGTACTTAACGCTTGTAATTAGACTGGTGACTGCATAGGTTGGAATGCGAAGTGCAGTATGGAATATTTCTTTAAAGTTACATTCTTAGACAAAGTGAGAATTCAGCTTCTTCAAACATTTCGTGTCCCGCAAACTTTTGCTGTTGATGGTACATATTGAACATACAGAATGTTTTGTATAATGAACACATAAATATTGACAGAAGCTGCAGACTATTTCACAGATTAGCATTGCAAAATATAAATCAACAAAGCCATGCAGTGCATACACTGACCATTCATAATTGAAATGTAAAAAGCTACTAAACAACCCCACCATCTGAATTTGATTGATTAATATGTAGGGTTTAACGTCCCAAAACAACCATATCATTATGAGAGACACCGTAGTTGAGGGCTCCGGAAATTTCGACCACCTGGGGTTCTTTAACGTACGCCCAAATCTGAGCACACGGGACTACACCATTTCCGCCTCCATCGGAAATGCAGCCGCCGCAGCCGGGATTTGAACCCGTGACCTTCGGGTCAGCAGCCGAGTACCTTAGCCACTAGACCACCGCGGCGGGGCACCGTCTGAATTATCTGATAACTGCAAAATTGTAAATTGTGAGCACGTTCTCAGAAATATTGTGTTCACATGATGAAATGATTAAGTCACAGCCAATAAAACGCACATTGTAGCTGTTTTCAGTTTCTCACTCGGCTTCTCTATCGTTATCATCGTGAAGAGGAGTACGCATACGTTACCATCATGACTAGTCACATGGAAACAAAGGATGACGTCAGTGATTGTGCAATCAACATGCAGCCATCAACTAAGCAAGGCCTCGTTGATGTGTCGCTGTGCTACATGGCATGGTGAGGAAGTACTGTGCAAGGCATAGGTGAGATAAACAAATTTGCAGCTCACCTCATACCAACACAATCTATACGGTGTAATTTTAAGGCAAACACTATTTCATATTGCAGAGAGAACCAACCGACAGTCAGTGCGAAATTGCCCCGCCGCGGTGGTCTAGTGGCTAAAGTACTCGGCTGCTAACGTGCAGGTCGTGGGATCGAATCTCGGCTTCGGCGGCTGCATTTACGATGGAGGCGGAAATGTCGTAGGCCCGTGTGCTCAGATTTGGGTGCACGCTAAATGAACCCAGGTGGTCGAAATTTTCGGAGCCCTCCACTACGGCATCTCTCTTAATCATATGGTGGTTTTGGGACGTTAAACCCCCCACATCAAACTACCATCAGTCAGTGTAAAATCACATCACTTCGCTAGCAAAGAGTATATAGTGGTCAGGCATGAAGGGGTCACCATAAGTATTTTTCGAAATGAAGTTTCTGTGATACTTACACAATGCGATTGCTGCAGCACTCTGCATGAATTAGCGAGATGGTCTGGAAGGTGACAAAAAAGAAAGACAGAGCTAAATCTGCCTAATGACACTTTGAGAGAATGTAAAACACACTGTGCGGGGAATCACTTTTGCAGACATATCCTTATAAGCTATAAAACTGACAATTAATATGCCTACTCTATGCAACATAAGAATGTCTCACACCTTTGCAAAAACTTTACTGTAGTGACTGCACTGTCTGTGTATGCCAGAAGCAGCCGGCCCGTGGCTCTCAGGCATCTTATCTAATCGTTGAAAAGTACTTGTGGCTCACATCCTTGTAGCACTGCTTTTGGGAGGTGCTTCCTGCGATAACAAAAGCAGCACAACACAATTATGCTCTGTAAACACTCACATGAAATCCACATTGGTGCCTTTAAAAAAATTCAGCTATAGACTGAACCACAGCAATACTCGCTTTTGTTATAATGGAGCACCTTATTGCTTTCCCTGGCATGGTTTATTATTTTCATTCATTAGACAATCCAGCAAATGTTAAGCTTTAGTTGGGGAGGAAGCAGTTGAAAAGCATAAATTTAATATAGCATATAAAAATAAGAAAATAATTTTGCATGATATATGAAATTATAATTCATGTAATGTCCCACCAACAAGAAATGAGTGAGCAAGCTGTGATGTTAAGGTGTTGCAAAATAATAGAGTTTCTGGAAAATGCAATATACAGCTGGTAGATTCTGCTATTGAAATGTGCAGTTACTACTGACTGTAGCTGCAAGTGCCTCCTAAATCTACTCGAACATTTAGCAAACCCGTGTAATGATACCGACAGAAAAAAACCCAGTTCTCATTTAGCTGCCCCCATCACAGCATTATGTTGCTTCACATAAGGGTTCCTGGTATGCAGGATGCAGATGCATGAACTTCGTGGCTATGTCGTACCACAGTCAATGTGATCGACATCTGCTCGAACTACGTGAGCAGCTGAAAAAATGTTCCACTGTGCAATTAGCTGTAATAATGTAGTACTGCTAGCAACCAGTCGCTTCACCATACACCCAAAAGAAATTTTGTCACCAGCAAGGTTTCGCAGTGTATACAAGCGTCTGAACACCTACCAGCTGCATTCTCTAATTTTATATCTAGATGAATATAACGTGCACACAGTAGCCAATAATTGCGCAAAGTAGTAGAGTCGAGTTTAGGTATTCTACAAAATTCATAGACAAGAATCAGGCACATCACTCAAGCCTGTTGTTTAGTCTCATAAGAGAAAGTGCGCTTGCAAACGTACCCAGAAAAATAGCAATTGACCATGAAAAATAGTAACAGCTAGGTTTCTGTTTGGCAGAAACAAATCGCATACAGTAAAGACAGTCCAGGACACTGCAACGATAAGGTTGTAAATTTCGAAGTGGGTCACTATTCTTCACACTATGCAAGCATTTACAAGAAAGATAACAATGCTTGCTGCAAAAAACAATAAAAGTTTACAGTTTTTACGAAATTCTACTTGCCAGTACCCCATTCTACAGAAAGGGAACACTTTGCGAAACTAAGTAACGTTTCCAGACGAAATGCACCCGCCATGGTGACAAATAGGTGGAGTACTGTTCTACAGCATCATTTATTGGAACTAAAAAATATAATAACAATAATTTCTTATTATAGCTTGCAAGAGCCTTTCTATTGTTGTTTATGTGAAGTAATTTTATGCCAGCGGGAGATCACAAGAATAAGGGCCACATATTAATGAGCGGAATTAGCTGCACTGGTTGTGCAGCAAATTCCAACTTTGCTCATTCAAGGAAACCATTGCAATTCTCCCTCAAATAAAGGTTGCACATAATTAACACTTTGGCATGAATATTGTTAGTTGGTAGGTAGCATACATCCTGATGTTACTCTGTATACCCTCACTTATTTTGCAATATTTTCACTTCGACATGACTAGCTCAAAACAACACTCTTTTTCATTAAATGGAACTTTGTACATTACCTTTGAGTTAGCCAAGGATGCTGAATAAGCAACTCTTAAGGGATGGTTGGCTCGCCTTGTGGTCAGCACTGCACAGTTCGTCAGGGCACTTCTGTTTGCTACCTACAGTACGCAGCAAAAAACGAAGCATTCAAACAAAAAGAAAGCAAGTATAGCAGCAGCATTTCGTCCTTTGAAGATAGAGAGGGAGGATGGGTAGTGATGCATTGTTCTTCATAAGGTACACACACATGCAAAAGCTGTTTTAGTTTGGCGCATAAATAGTTCTTCATAAGGTACACACACATGCAAAAGCTGTTTTAGTTTGGCGCATAAATAGTATAAATGAGTGCAAATGTTTAGAGGAGACAAGCGGCCGCATATTTGAAATCCTCCAAAGAAGGCAAAAACACTCACTTGGGATTTTACAGTATATATTCTGTGCCATCTATGAAAAGTATGCAAAGGACTGAATTTCACTAACACTTGCACACTATTAAGCCAATGTGAAACGACAACGTATTGCACTCGCTTTACTGTCCAGCTGGGGCTTACAAAACTTCCTGAAGTTGCACAGAGAGCAAAGTGGTCTGGCCAAATTCAAGTATACCCATTCCAACAAGCACCGCTGGCTTCAACTCCAAGTGACAGCACCAAATGAAGTCATTTAATAGAGGCATGCGACTAATGCTAAGTACCTAAGCGTTTGAATAAAAAGATAAGTATATTTCAGTTCAGTTCAGTTCAGTTCAGTTCAGTTTATTACCTTAAAGGCCCCCCTTTCTAGGAGGGGCATTACATAAGGGGTGGGGTTTTATTTAGGTTAACAATAAGCAGTAAAAGTTGTTTTAGTATTGAAGATGATCAATAACACGGTCTTGAAAGGCAGATGATGAGGCGATGTTGGCGATGTCCCGGAGGAGGCCGTTCCAGTCCGTGGCTGCTCGAAAAAAGAACGAGGCAGAAAAAGCAGTGGTGCACGAAGAAGGGCGGGAAACTTGAAATGGATGACTGGTTCGATGAGATATGCGTGCTGCGGCTACTATATAAGGTGGCTGATTGAGGGAAGAATGAAATAACTTGTGATAAAGCACGAGAGTTGCAGTGCGGCGACGCAAAGAAAGGAGTGGTAGTCCAGATTTCGCTTTCAAAGATGAAATACTGATGTCGTATGAGTAAGATGAGTGAATGAATCTGGCAGCACGGTTTTGTACCGCTTCTAATGCTTTGATTAAATACGCTTGATGAGGGCTCCATATGGCAGATGCATATTCTAATTTTGTTCTGATTAAAGATTTGTACGGAAGTAATTTTACATGTGGGGGGGCTAGGCGGAGATGGCGTTTGAGAAAACCAAGTGCTTTATTAGATGCTGAAACTACATTAGCGATGTGGGTACGCCATGATAAATCATAAGACAAGGTTATTCCAAGATATTTATAAGATGGTACTGATTCAATTGCGGTGTTAACGATGGAATAGTGGAAGCGATATGGGCTATGGCGACGAGAAAAAGACACGAGTTTACATTTAGAAGGATTAAGGGTCATTAACCATGTGTTACACCAATGAAGCACGTTGTTAAGGTTGGTTTGGAGATACAGGTGATCATGCTGGTTACTGATAGTGTGATAGATGGCACAGTCGTCCGCGAGCATGCGGATGCTGCAGGATACATGGTCGGGCAAGTCGTTAATATATATTAGGAAAAGAAGGGGACCGAGGACAGATCCTTGGGGAACGCCTGATGTGACTGGGAGAGAGTTAGATAGGTGGCCATTAACAAAGACTGACTGAGAACGGTTGGTGAGAAACTGTTCAATCCAACGAAGAATGTTAGGGTCTAGGTGCAGGTGTGAAATTTTTAGCAAAAGGCGGCGGTGAGGAACTTTATCGAACGCTTTCGCATAGTGTAGAAAAATTACATCAGTCTGCATGTTACGGTCTAGGTTAGTGTGCAAGTCGTGAAGAAATAGCGCTAATTGTGTTTCGCAGGAGTGACCTTTACGAAATCCATGTTGTGATCGATGAAAAAAATTACATGAGTCCAAGAAACTTGCGATTTGAGAGTAAATGACGTGTTCCATGATTTTACAGGGTACACTAGTTAATGAAATGGGGCGGTAGTTCAAGGGTGAGTCTCTGTTACCTGATTTGTACACTGGAACGACCTTCCCCGTTTTCCAGTCATCTGGAATGATTCCTGAGGCGAGTGACTGTGAAAAAATCAAAGACAAATAGGCGGCACAAATTGATTTACCATTCTTCAGTAGCTTAGAATTAATTGAGTCCATACCGGCTGATGATGAAAGCTTCATGTTATCGATTACGGACGCAATGCCTTCTTCGAAAAATGAGATAGTTTGCATGAATGCTTCGATGTTAACTGATGGTGACTGTGAAGGTACGTCAAGTTCTTGAGTAAAGACAGATGCGAATGCGGTGTTAAATATTTCCCCACATTCATGGTCGGTCACTGGTTTATGCGCGTCGTTAGCCAGTGTGATGTCGTGAGTCTGCTTTGGATTTAAAAGTTGCCAAAATTTCCTGGGGTTGCTGGTTAGTAGCTTTGGTAAGTGATCGTGATAAAATGTATGCTTGGCGTTCCGGATCTCAACTAGATATGATTTTTCCACTTCGAAGTATTTATCCCAGTCACTAGGCGTGTCACGGCGTTTGGCCGAACGGAAGAGCCGTTTCTTTTTATTTTCCAGCCGTTTTAAACGTACAGGAAACCATGGCTTATTGTGATTAGCATGAAAGGTAACCCTCGGAATGAACATATTAGTGAGCACACTTAATTTACTTTTGAATATTGACCAGTTTTCATGTACTGTGCGAGTGGGAAACACTGAATTGTACTCAGAAAAAAAGGTGTTAAGGTCTTCAGTTATTGCATCGTAGTTTCCCCGGTCGTAAAGGCATATTGTTTTTGAGGATGTGTACTTTGGAACAGAACTGAATGAAAATAAGGCATGTATGATTTTATGGTCGCTGATTTCTGGGAGATAACTGATAGATGAAAGGTTCTCAGGACTGTTGGTTAGTATTAGGTCTAGGATGTTTGCTGTTTCTTGCGTAACGCGTGTTGGTTCCGAGACTAACTGACTCAGGTTAAAATTTAAACATACGTCAATGAAGTTTTTAGCCTCTGCATGACATGATAATGAGGATATGCCTAGGTTATGCCATTTGATGTTCGGGTAATTGAAGTCGCCAAAGAGAAGGATGCGAGCATTGGGGTAGGTGGCAACAAGTTGCCTTAGGCTATTGTTTAGGTGCCTACAGAAGTCTGGATTAGTATGCGGTGGCCTATAACAAACGCCAAGAAGTACTGTTAGGAGAGGAGCGTGACAAATGAGCCATAATGATTCAATGTCGGACGTTACGTGTACAACGGAACATGATATACCTTGGTGAATCGCGACCAGAACACCACCCCCTCGAGTACACTTTCGGTCGCTACGATACGCTACGATTCAGTTTCATGTTCGATTTCTATTGTTATTCTTCCGCGTGTCACTTTTTTTCTGATGCTGGGTATCGAGATAAAGGCAAAATATTTTTAAAATACAGTATTACAATATGTTTACCAGCAACAGTCATACTACATTATACGAGGTAGTGCCAACGACATCACTGCAAACATTCAGAGCAATGTCAACGGCATATCTCAGAGACCTTCACAGTCTTTCATTGAGCTGCAGTTAAAGGCGGCGGCCGCTAAATGAACTTCTTTCAGAAACCGAGTGAGCTGCTTTTCTTCAAAACACTTGCGGGCGCAAGGTGCAGACATAAGTAGATAGAGCCCTGGTAACGGAGACTATACCGCTCGGAGTTGATGTGCCTGCACTCGTCAGCCGGCGCACGCGGCTCTGTTCTGGTGCCGCGAAGAGGCCCATGCTCGAAGGAGTTTCTTGTTGAAACAATATTAAAACCATGCTTCGGGGTTTGCGGTATTCGCTACACCTCCACTACAGTACAATATCATGTGTACTTGAGAATAAAACAGTTCGTAGAAATGATGAGCCTGTCGTAGTTAACTTTCACATGCAAAAACATTATAAGTACATCATGAAATTATACGTACACGCTGTTTGACTGACGAAATGAACTCACGCATTCTGTTGTGCAAAGCACGTATAGGCTTTTTTTGCCTGCAATTCCGACCACTTTTTTATTGTGAAGCGAATAAAACAGAAAAAAAACTTCCTTACCGAGAATAATAAAAAAAAAGATGCCGCACCAGCTCTGTTAATTCCAACGCAATTGGCTTTTTATTTGTTGTTGTAAGCGCAATCTAACAACCCTGAAATGCTTGATGATAGGACATGAATTTTCACTTCAGAGGGATTACAATAATTCATTAAGTCCCGCAAGCTCATAGCAACGTGTGGAACACATCATCACGTCGATACTTGTTTCAACGACATATCGGTGATGATAATGAGATGGAACCACCAATGTTTATACGATCTCTTTGGCAAAACAACCCGCTTACGAGAATGCTGCTGTGCCGCATTATCAATTATATGAAAAACGCGTGGCTGATGAGTGTTCATGCCAAAAAAAAAAAAAGGGGGGGGGGGTAATGCGCGTGGCGTGTAGTCGTCGAAAGGAAAGAAGAAAACGAGAAATGTTTGCGTCAAAACACCCCTCTATCATTATGAGGGACTCCGTGGGGTAGTGGTTTCTAAAAATTTCACTATCTGCCATTTAAAGAGAAATGAATAAAAATTATGAAAAAGTGACGAAAACACGATAGTTTTATTAGGAAGGCATGCATGTTCCGCTAAACAAAGTTCACATATTTTTGAGTAATTTGGTTGTATTTTTGGTAGATTGTCATTGCGCGGCGGCAGCACGTGACCCTTGCTGTCACGTTTTTCGAGGCGCACGCAGGGTGCAGGTATTCAGACTCTTCTCTTCCCTTTTCCACCTCTCCTTTCATCCTACTCTTTCCTTTCACAAAAGCACTGATGCTTTAGCTCCGAGCCGGGAAGATTACTCGCTGCTTGTACTGTTTGTAGTGGTTTCAAACATACCAGCTATTTTAGCGACCACCTCAAATCGATGCGAAGAAACATCCTGCTGATTTACTGCATTGAAAGCATT